GGGAGGGCTAGCCTCCCACTAGTTCGAATTAAATGGCTACACAGCCCTTAATTCGAACTACTTAATTCGAACTAGGCGTTAGTCCTTGTAGACTGAGGTTTACCTAGTTCGAATTAAGCGCTCCGCTAGTTCGAATTAAGTTCGAACTAGCGGTTTGCGTGTGTAGCGCCTATCAAAGTTAATTCGAACTAACGGCTGTTAGTTCGAATTAACTTTGTCGTGTAGACATACCCAGAATGAACAGAACAGGGAATCATCAAGTGATCCCTCCCCTTCACCTACTCCCAGTTTCTGACAAACAGAGGTTAGGGACACTACCTTTACCTATCCTGGCTAATCGCTATTAATGGACCTATCCTCCATGACCTTATTTTTTTATTCCAGGATTGCACCTAATCATTGCCAACCAAATCTGTGTAGTTTAATCTCTTGCGTATCTAAGGCCAGGTCTATACTACGTGAAAGATGATGCTAGTGGGTCTAGTGAAGACCCGCTAAATTGAACTCAGAGGGCACCCCTGTTGGTGCTGATACTCCTGCTTCTCATAAGGAGTAAGGGAAGTCAATAGGAGCGTTTTCTCCTCTCTTCCTCCCTCTGTGCTATTGGTGAAGAAATGAGATTTAAGACACGTTGACTTCAGCTATATAATGAATGTAGCTCGAATTGCATATCTTAAGTCAGCCGTTCACTGGAGTATAGACCAGGGCTGTGTGTCCATTATAAAAGACTTAACCAGTAACTACAAGGCCAACCATTCCCTTTGCTTAGGGCACTAAACTAGGAGTTAGAAGCTCTATCATGCACTCGGAGTGACCCAGGGCACATCACTTAATCCCAGTGTTCTGAGCACTGTAGAAGCATGGAGAAGGGCCAGTCCCTACCTGCAAGGCAGAGAAAGGATGGGAGAAAGGAAGGATTATTTGCTTCATTTTATAGTCTAGACCTGGATTAGGGTACTGAGTAGCAATGGAAAAGTTTGCTAGGAGGAGCGAGGAGTGACTCTGACTGCCCTGGACAATTCTCTCTCCTAAAGAGGCGAAAATCATCAGAGATCCAGTTGACTCCAAGAGCTGGGGCTTTAAGAAGAACCATAAATATCATGAGACTCAACCAAATCATGAGACATGACAACACTGCTACTGTCTGGTGAGCGGAGCCCAAAGATAAGGGGAAGCATCCACAGGGAGAGACAGGGAGGCTTCCTGATGCAGCAGTTGCTTTCAGTCCAAAGAATTTGTTCCTCTTGCCGTAATAACTATCAAACACTTTAATGATGAGGGGAGAATGCTTCAAATACAGTGTCAGTGCCAATGCCTTGTTGCACTGTGTGCCCGTGGCAGCTGCAGCAGATGGGTTTTGGCCACCTCTCTGGGGGAATGCCAAAGTTAAATGCATTGCAGTTATCCAGCCCCTTTTCTAGGGTGTTTCACAACACTTTGCACACACACACAAGAAAACTTCATCTGCCCGCAAAAGTAGGGGCATATTTGCTTCATTTTACAGCTGGTTAAACTGAAGCAAAGTCACTGGCCTCAGGTAACATAGCAAGTCAGCAGCAATGCTCCCTCTAATTTTTTCCATGTGCAGAATAAATGTTGTTATGTGCACCAAGCTTGTGAAGATGTGCACCACCAACAGGAACACATGCTGTTGACTATGGGTGACTGTGGGCACTCTACTAATCAGTTGGGTAACACCTGAATCTCACCTGGGTGGCTACCCAAGAGCTCAGCTTACAGTGGCCCTGCCAAAAATAGAGCCTGGGAGGTTGGAGGTATTGTACGAATGCCCACAACACTTTCTTGCCACCTTTGTTTCTGTATTTAGCACAGTCTATATGGAGGCAGAATGAGCAGCCAATACAAAAGGCCTCCGCAAACCAGTTTGGAAGGAATGCTGCACAAAATATGAAGGCAAGCATCTACCCAGAACTTTTCCTCTGAGGGCTGCAGCCATTCAGCTATCATTTTAGAAGCCTGCTCATATGCCTTTGACCTTCCCAGTTTCATGAGAAAGCAGGAGAAATACCAAAATCCCCCAAGGAACCACTAATCTTGTTTTCTATCCCTCCTGACTATTCAAGCAGAACTAAAAATCTAGCAGAGAAATCCTGATTTCACATTATTACTTGCCCAACTTTCAGATCAAAGAAGTTCAGTGAAGTGGGATAAACTCAGAGTGCTTATTCCAAACCCAGAGGAATCCCTGTATTAACAGAGCTCCTTTCATCCCAAAGGAAGCCAGATGAAACACACGGTACTATTGATCTCCTAGGAAACAGTGAAAAATGTAAAGTGAAATGAAGGACCAGCCCACCCCAAAGTTCTACTGCTCTAGTCAGTCCCGTGGTTGCAAATGAGATGACAGCATTTGTTAACAGCTACCAAGTAATGATACCTGAGACCACATGTGCTTAACACAGGAAATTGGGATTGTCACTAATGTTCCCTCTAGTTGTTTCTATCCATGTGTAGAATATATTTTGTTACATGCACCGAGGCATGTGCAGATGTGCACCACCAATAGAAACACATACTGCCAGCTATGGAAAGCTGCAGGGGCTATGAGTGCTCTGCTAATCAGCTGGGAGGCATCTGAATCTCTCCTGGATGGCCGCACAAGTGCTCAGCTTACAGGGCACACTAGATGATACCATGTGGTATGTGTCGGCAAATATTGGGTTTTTGGTGGCCACCACTTTAACTTATGAAATATCAAAGGTGGCCAAAATGTGATTATCGCATTTGTCAAGTGCACCCCAAGTCCTTCCTCTCTGTTAATACACACGTGCAGGCAATGGGCAGCAAAGATCCCAGCATGCAATGCTTCAGCTTTGTCTGAGCAGTCAGTGCCTGCAGTCTGCTTCATTTTATTCAAATTAGGTTTGGCTTCCCCATTGCCAACCTGACCTGCAGGTGTCACCAAGTCCTGTTCTTCCCTCCCCACATCCTTTCCGTGAGCTCAGTCGCAGTAAGAATGGACACCTACCCTTTGGTCCCTGTCAACTCCACTCCCATCATGCACCACACAGTGCATGTTGCCAATGAAATTTCCACTGTCCCAACAGAGGCCAAGACAGAACATGTTCCCACAAATTACAGTCAGTGAGAACGGTGTGGGCTGGACTCTGAGTGGAGGGCTGGACTCTGCCCTATGCTACAGACTATATCTATATAACTACATCAACGCCCCCCAAGAAATATATTTATAATGTCTCAACACACACCCCCTTCCTTTCTCCTATCTTGGGTAGACAGCTCTGTGTTCCTGCAAGTGCTTCTATGAGTCAGACTCACAAGGAAATAATATCCATAATTCCCAGTGGAGGATTACATGCTAAGGCTGAAGCCTATCTGGATTTGCTATATAAGACATAAAAATATTTCTTATATGTGTTAAGGCAATAACACCAGGTGCCAACAAGCAGACAGGCCTGTAAGGCAATAGCTTATCATAAGCAACTAAGTAGCGTAACTCTAGCTCGTCAGATAGCCTAACTGAGAATGCTGCAATGAGCTGTTATGATTAAATCACTGACTGTTGGTATGTCCTCTATCTATTTTCTAAGTTGGAACATCCAAGGGGTCCACTCACAAGAATGTCTTGATAACTAGTTGAGGCACTTAAGAACATAAGAATGGCCATACTGGGTGAGACCAAAAGTCCATCTAGCCAAGTATCCTGCCTGCCAACAGGGGCAATGCCAGATGCTCCTAAAGGTGTGAGCAGAACAGGGAATCATCAAATGATCTATTGGCTGTCTCCTATTCCCAGATTCTGACAGAAATTAGGTACACTATCCGTGCCCATCCTAGCTAACAAATTCACTCATGGAGGATAGGTCCATTAATGGCTGACTATTTTTTGAACCCTGTTATAGTCTTGTCCTTCACAACATCCTCTGGCAAGGAGTTCCACAGTTTAACTGTGTGTTGCAAGAAGAAATACTTCCTTTTGTTTGTTTTAAACTTGCTATCTATTCATTTCATTTGGTGGCCCCTAATTCTGTTATGGGAACAAGTAAATAACTTTCCCTGATTCACTTTCTCCATACCTTTCATGATTTTATTGACCTCTATCATATCTTCCCTTAGTCATCTTCTTTCCAAGCTCAAAAGCCCCAGTGGGTATGTCTACACTACAAAGTTAGTCCACGACCTCCGCACTAGGCACAGGAAAGCGGCTGTCTAGGGCAGGAGAGCTGCCAGCCTGGCCACCCAG